AGAGGAAATGGGAGGGGGGAGAAGAGGAGAGAAGAGGGAGAGAGAGAGAGAGAGAGAGAGAGAGAGAAAGAGAGAGAGGGGGGGAAGGGGAGAGAGAGAGAGAGAGAGAGAGAGAGAGAGGAAGAGTATGGAGAGATCCTTGTACTTCTCCTTCTCCTGAAGCTGAAGCGGTATCACTATCTCCGGTGAGGTGAAAACATCAAAAGAACACTTTTCACCATCAGATAGAGAGAGAGAGGGGTAAGAAAGATAAGAAAAAAACAGAGAGAGAGAGAGAGTGAAATAGAAACATCAAAACAATTTTCACCACCAGATAAAGAGGGAGGGGAAGAAATAGCAGAGAGACAACCTGAGTTTTTAGTTTTAGTAAGAGTTTTACGGCACTTGCAACACAATAAGGTCATATAAGTGCAGAAGAATGGATGTGTTACAAGAGAGTAACATACACAAAAAAGAAGGAGGAGAGATAAGGACGATAGATGTTTGATATAAAAGAAGGAGCAAACCACACCAGAGCACTCACCAACCACCCACAGACAACCTGAACAAATGGTAAAGAGAGAAAAACTAGGATAGTATAGGGTTGGGACTTTTTTTTTTGCTTCCGCGTAGAGAAATGAATGGTGAACCATGATCACCAATGTCTGATTCAGATCTGGCACCTGAGGAAGAAACTTGACACAGAAAACCCACCTCATCATCGAGAGCTTGATCTGTCTCCGGGGGGAGCGGGGAGTATCGCTGCAGACGGTGACTCATCTGTTTGGCCATTTTCTCGTCTTCGTCTGCCCTGAAATCGTGATGGGGACACTGATGAAACTCATATTCAATCTCATACCTCCATCGACTGATCTATAGATAGACTCTAGTCCAACATAGAGAGATAGAGAGCCATGCAAACTCACATCCAATCTTACACTCACTAAAAGATTTCCTGTCAGGACTTACGGTACACCACAGGGAACATTTTAGGTAAAAAAAGGCACACATTGCTAAAACCAATGCTGAGACTTATTGGGCTTTAAAAACTGTCCGTTGTGACCTTCTGAATTATAAGAACTGCCAGTTGTGACCTACTGGATTGTAAGAACTGTCAGCTCTGTCCTACTGACCTTCTAAAGGAACTGTCAGTTGTGACCTACTGAGTCATAAATATCAACTGTCAATGGTGATCTTGTAAGTTATATTCAACTGTCAGTTGCGACCTACTGAGCTTTGAGAGCTGCTAGCTCCATCATCCTCTCCTCCTGCTGTCTGCATTCTTCCTCCGTCTGGACGACCTTGGCCACGGGAATGTCCTCCCGTACCGTGCGTCGGTGGAAACGATTCAGCCCATAGTGCTGGTCAACTGGAACAACAAACATTGCTCACTGAAATATTCATCAACTTAGCATTCTGAAATATTTATGAGCTTCGTATTCTGAAATGTTTATGAAATAAGCATTCTGAAACATTCAAGTTCAACGTTCAAGAACTTACTGACGGGGGATTTGAACTAAAAATGAACTGAACCACAGTCAAGCATGATACTCACAGAACGGAGTCCCCAAAACTTACTCACATACAAACAAAGCAAGTTGTTTCAAAAAGCCATTCTTCCATACTCACTTTCTTCATTCTGTATTCTGTAGGCCAAAGCTCCATCTTCATGGACTGACCACTGCTGACGGACTGAAACAAAAATGTTATAATAATAAAAATAATAATAATAATAATAATAGACTGCATTTATATAACGCTCTATCCCATATGAGTAATCTCTGAACCCTTTACATCAATAACAAGATCACTGAGCATAATACTTCATTCACACAAGACAAAACATTTCATATTAACAAGAAAACCAGTTCAACCACATAAAGAAGAACTTTCGCAACCATACATAAACACTTTGCGGTCACACAGCCAGCAATGCAAAAAATGCCCCATCTGGTCACGCAGCCAGGAGACTGACTGCAACAGACTTATAGGGCCTGTCGCAGAACTGCGTCAAGTGACCGGAACAAATAATGTTCTCTGTCGCATTATTGCACTGGCAAGTGACTGCAAAAATGAGAGAAAAGACATACTATGACAGCCCCTGTCACCCTCACCCTGATGAACAGTAACAGAAGCCAGTGGTGGTGGGTAGTGAAGGGCTCACGGGCTTGAGCCCCTCCCCCCTCCCCACCCACTATCCCCAACTCTATCCCAAAGTAAATGAAAGTTTCTCCAAATAATGAAAAAAGAAGGAAACCATTTTGACAACACGCAATGAACACAGAGAGATCAACTTGGCGGTTTGTTCGTTTATCCAATCACTGTTGTCACCGCTTACAACTATAGCAACCCAGCAGCCAATCAAATGTCTTTAGGGCTCAGCACAGTCACAGGATGAGCCCTTTCTCTTCCTGTAAAAAAGGTAGAAGACTGGAAAAAATAACACTGCCCAGAGGGCTCACGTTCTCCTAGCCCTGACAAAAGTAACTCTTCTCATTTGAATGGTTCTCAAAATTCCGTGGCTCACCGTGAGTATAGAAAAATCATCACTGTTTAGTTCCTATTGCTTGCTATTTGGTGGTAAAGAAGTGGAAGCAACCTAAGCCCCACCCAAATTTTGGTCGACCCACCGCAACTGAAAGAAGCAGTTTACATGACTGAGGAGTTTTTTGTTTGTTTTAGTAGAGGTTTTACAGCGCTCGCAACTGCATAAGGTCATATGAGCGCCAAGGGGTGGATGTCATCAGAGAAGTCCTTACAGGGAATCAGGCTTACTCTGCTCACCTCTCTAGCTTCAACAGCACAAAGTCTGCTTCGACTATCAAGGCACCCCGGAAATAGTGGGTCACAAGAGTGTGACAAACATACAAAAGAAGTAGAGGAAAATGACGATAGTAAGGATTAGGAAAGAAAAAGCAACAGTTCCCTGTTGTAGTTCAGGCACAGTTATGAGCATGACATTGTTGTATCAGCCCATTTACAATTCTACTGTGCATTATAATGAGAAATGTCCCCCCTTCGGGAATGGCCTAAAGACACTTCAGTCAGTGGCACCGCCCTGGGGGGGGTAACTGAGGAGTTTGCACATTTTCAGGACTTTCAACTGACACTTGGAATGTAGATTTCCTCAGTTGTTTCTTGCACAGCCTGAGCTTTGCTCTGAATCCTTAACCTTCAGAATATGAACTCGACCCACAAACAAACATCTTGAAAATATGAACTCGACCCACAAACAAACATCTTGAACTTTGCATTGGAGCAAGCAGGGCTACTAACAAAGAAGACTTTACAAATCGTTTTTTACGTAAATTTACAATTCAAAATCTTACATTGTACTATGACAAAATACCTCTTATATTTTGGTGAAACTTTATCATTCTACATAAATTTTATCTGTGGTGTGTTTAAATCAGTATTTATATTACCAAGTCTGATCTAAGATTGAGACAGACAATGCGGGCAAAGAATCCTAAACTTTTGATTCCAACAATACAATACCATAGAGGTTTTTACTCAAGAAGATTTTATAAAAGTCTGGGGTCAGGATTATTATAATATTGCCAGAGAGGATTCAAATATGAATCAGAGCTATTATAATCATATTCATGTCCAGGGTCAGGCTTTGACCTGCCTGCAAAAATCCCCCCTCCCCCAAATCCAATTTAGCCACAAAAAAAAAAAGCAATGAAAAATTCCTTGATTCTTATTCTGAAGTTAGATCTACACCCCCCCATCCCCCCCCCCAAACTATTTCTCAGAATGTTTGGGAAAATAAGCTTGAACTTTATTTCTCCGAATGGTTTCCGTTCTCGAGACTTGTTGATAATAAGCAAATGGAGTGGCACGAGACGTGTGTGTGCGTCAGTCAGTATGTGTGTAAGGTGTGAATGGGGTGGGGGGGGGGGGGGAAGTGGAGGGGTGGAGTGGGGGGTGGGTTGGATTTTTTTTACATGAAATTTTTAAAAAGTTTTTGCAGGGTGACTAAATGCAAAATAGGTTACTGCCAAGGTCGAGCGGTCTTGTTTTCTAGCAGTACCTTTTGAAGGTATTTTTAAATGAAGTAGATCTAGATCTATAGTCCAGGGACGTTGCCCCAACCACAACTGAAGTATCTGAATATTTAGACATTTAAAAATCTCTAGCTCTAGAAATTGAATTCGAAGCAAAAAATGCTTCCTCCCAACTTTACTTTTGGACGCTAAATCTTCCAAATAACAAAAAAATCTCGAGATCAGAAACCGTTCGGAGAAATAGAGTTCAACTTTATTTTAACGAGCATTCGGAGAAATAGTCACTTTGAAAAAATTTAAAAATCAACAACAACCCCCCCCCCAACTTCTGACTTTGTTGAACGGCCCCAGTTCTTAAACTTAAACAGTTATATTAGAGGCTATTCTCCTTCTTCTTGGCCTCTTTCACCCTGGTATTAGGTATAGGCTGCCAAGATGGGTTCTCCACTTGACTCCGTTTAGAGCGATCCTCTCTACCTAAAATCCTTTACATTTATAAATAAAGTATTATAAAGCTAGCAGCAGAACTTTCCCATCTCAGCCATCTGTCTGAGATCCGCCTCCAGACCTCCCTCACAATTTTATTAAAGGTTGAAAGCAAATAAGTCTGTGTAGTAAAGGAATCTGTACAAACCAACAAACTGCAAAGAAGAGGAGAGTCAGCTAATAGTCAGAATCTTTTCTTTTAATTTTTAAATGAATGAATCAACAAATGCGGGGGAGGGTCAAAAGTCAAGAGTGACAAGAACAACATTAGATCTAGACAGAGATCTGACCTCATTAAACAATATGCTTATATAATATTTAAGACATTCTAATAACGCATAAATAAAGGATATAAAATCAAAGTCGTGAATATGAAAGAACGAAAAGCGTAGGTGTGTTGATAGAAGAGTGTCAGTGTGTGACTAATGACCAAAGTGACCACCTGATTGTACTCTTCCTTTCGGTGGGAGAGTTGGCACCTCTTCCTTTGCCTCAGCCATAGTGCAATAAAATTATTCAACTACTAAATGTCTCTCTTTGAGGAACATTTTTCGACCCTAGAGTTCGAACGACATGAAACGCAATACATGAAACTTTTTCTCAAATCTATTTGGGTCTTGAAATTCATAACACTGAAGATAGAACCAATCACGGAAGCCAGACCGGATGTTGGCTTACTGTGGAAGTTATCTCCCTTCAAAGCAAAAGAAAGTAAAAGTATAATGTAAACACAAAACGAACAAAACAAAACCAAGATTGGCCGTTATTTATAAATAAATTATACTATTAAATGGTTTTTGTTCGTTTATTTCAGCACAAAAGAGGTAAACTTCACAGTCACAGAAATAAGAGTGGTTGAAAGACAGATGTGTGATCAGTTTGAGACAGGAAGAATGCAGAAACGTTGGAAGAAGAGCTTCCACACACCAAACCCCCCCCCCAAAAAAAACAACAAAAAAACAACCATATACAAAGAATAAAATAATGTGGTGAAAGTAACATTCCCGTGTGGGAATGGCTGTATACGAAGATCGGCTCCAAAACGGTCGTGAACCAAACAGGAAAAGATCGCAGAGAGTGAAAGAGAACTCTAGCGGCATAGAGGTGCCTCACAAATGCTCAAACAATTTAATTTAGGAGGCGCCGTTATCAGTGCGGGCTAAACTGCCACAATCCCTTCATATATAGTCGTCCCATGTCTGACTTTGCTTTCTATGTGTTTTTACACCCACAACCCAATATAGATCAGTTTCAGACCTCTGTAAGAGCAGCTGATTTTTTTTTACATGGCTGTTCTATCTACACAGAACGCCTGACAGCCATGTAGTGATCTTTAAAAAAAATTTAAAAATTCTATAGTAAATTAGATCTAGATCTATAGACTACTGAAAGAGTTGCTTCTGTTTTGGGAAGGAACTAATTCGGAATTTTGCCCGGATGGCCTACCTGTTAGGATTTCAGAACTGCCGAGTGCGGATAAGGGGTCTTTTAAATGAGCAAAACTTCCACACGGCACCGCTGAAGTTTGTTGTAGTCTTTTTTTTTTAATCTGAGAAGACTAGATCTAGGTATTCGACCCTACCTATAAAAGGACTTGGAGGGGGGGGGGGGGTAGGATACATTAAAACACACACACACACACACTCACAAAAACCCAGATGCTGTCACTGTCAAGGATCGAACCCAGGACTTCCAGGTTAACAGGCAAACTGCCAGCTCAAAACAAACTACCTTCCGCATAATGTTGATATTTCAGAGGGCTCACCTACGTCACAGTCACGTTCTGTAGCCTTGAACTTAGGGACCTTACTCCGAACTGAATCCTAGATTTGTTTCTCCTTTTTATGTGGTGTTTTTACGCCATATCAACAATTTAATCGTTTAGGAGGCGGCTCCCAACCCTGCCTGTGTCAAGAGCCAACTCGTTTTAGTAAGCATTTTACGGCACTTGCACCATGATAAGGTCATATAAGTGTCGAAGATCAGAGGTGTTACAAGAGAGTAGCAAACAAAAAAGAAGAGGGAGAGATAAAGACAATAGTTGCTTGATAGAATAGAAGGAACAAACCACACCAGAGCACCTGCTAACCACCCACAGGGCCAACTCGGGCTGAGAGGGATACAACATCCTAGCAGAAAGACTAAGATAATCAAAATTCTCTCTGTGCAACAGCGATACATCAATCAACTGCTACACCACAGACACCATCAGAACTCAAGGGGACCAATCATAGCAGATGTTTTAAATCCTCAACTGACTCAACGTAGATCATTTTGGAGGAGGGCTGCTTTCATCTTGTCTATCAGGGCCAGCGAGGGTTGAGTGGGAAACAGTATTCCAGCAGATTGGCAACGATTTTTAAAATAAAATATTGTCTGCCCATGGAAACCGAACTCACCTCTTGGCATTCAATACATGTAGCAGATGAGCAAAGATTCTTGATAAAATGTCGTTGGCCCTTGAAAATCGAACTCACCTATTCAGCATGTAATGGTGAAGAGCCTTATCATTACATTATAGACCCATTTGTTTGGGTGAAATCTGTGGGGAAAATAATCCAATTTCCTCCTAAAGATCAACAGAACTTTTGAATTTGACCACTGACAACTAGATCTACATTTACTAAGGTCACAAAAGGTATCAATACAACAGCCCCAGCGTTGTCTTTTCTGTGGTGCGTATAAATTATTACACTGTATTATGTACCCAGTTTCTGTAGGGCAGCATTTATTAATATTGGCACAAGAATAAACTTAACTCAAATTCTACCGATATATATAAGAGTGTGTGTGTGTGTGTGTGTGTGTGTGTGTGTGTGTGCCTTTGTGCCCCCGCGCTTGTGTGTGCATGTATCACACTATCATGTGTGCGAGAGTGAGCGCACATGAAGCATAACCAAAGTTATTGACTTTCAACTAAAAGCTACATGTAAAACACAAAGACTTTTGACAGCCAAGGGGGGGGGGGGGGGGGACCCAAACAAACAAAAAAACAAAAACAGTGCCACAAAAATGAAATAAAAATTTCTTTTAATTCATCAAAAATGATTGGAGAGGTGGAGCCTGGCCTCTCTGCCACTCTCTGACAAGCACACGTCTACAAAACACAAAGTCACCAGTCACTGGACTAGCTCCACAATATCACATGGCAAACACTGTCCACTTAAGCCGCAGTTTGGACTCTCCACTTCATGAACAAAAAGAAAGAAAAAAAAAAAACTTTGACAAAGAACGAGGGTAGGCGAGTGAAGGTATGGCAATGGAAGTGTCAGGGGGGAAAAAGGATTTGTCATTCTCTGGGAACATCTTGGATGAGATTCATTCATTCATATTATTGTCTTTCCCATTACACTTATCATAGAGAATCATTCACATAATCCATCATGAATAGCATTAATTTACATTACACATACACAGAGTATTTCATACATACGACACATCATATACAAAGACATTCACACAACACATCAAGTGCCGTCTCATTGCACCATTCACATTCATAGCTGCCCACTTTCCAAAACCAAAAACTAAAAAGAAAACGGACTCTATATTCACACGGCAAGTCAAGGCGGTGGGTATTGATGCAATAACCCCTCTCCAAACCCTTTGCACACATATTTTCCTGCATTCAATACATTCCTGTTCAATAACTGTCAATGGGAAAGGACACGACTACAATTGTCCTCTCAATTTCATTCTCAATATCATTCGTAACTCAAATCTTGAAAGTTCACAATTTCTCTCCAGTATCAGCAAGCCTGTGAGGAGCAATACCGGTACTAGAAATAGGAGCGTACACAAGTATGCCAACGGACTTCCGTAATCAGACCCTCAAAAACATTTTATATGTACTGGTTGGCAGCTATGCACATTAAATAACACATCGCGTACAGCTTCATTCACATAAAACACCACATACAGAACAGTGTCATTCATAGAGTAATGTTTTAAATATGACATACAAAGTACAACGTCATCCACACTAGCACACAAGGTTTACAACATTGTTCACCATACACGTCACATACAGCATCAGCCACAAAGCACAGCACGCGTCAGTCACACAAGATAACAAACATGTTGTGCCATCTTTGTTCAGCCAGTCTACATATCATACACAAAAAATCATTCATCCTCACCATGTAAGTCCATGTTTATGTGATTTCACCCTCAAAATAAATTAAAGAGCCCACAGAGTAGGAAACATTCACCCTCTCAAGATGTATTTATAAAATAGAAAAAGCCCCACAGGTTTAAGTATTCAAATCTCGGCATTGTCAAGAAGACATCCACAGTGCATTCATTGTTGCTACATCTACAGTATATAGATCTATTCACTGCTGCTCTTCCCCTTTGGAATGCAGAGGTCCTGAGAGACTGAGACAAAATTTTGACAAATATAAGTAAATGCTGGGTCGTTACATCGGGGTCCAGATGAATTGTATGTATCCACTGTCGAGATCCTCTCAAATACTCAAAAGCATAAAAACAAATATATACCATCATACTAAATTGACACATGAATTCCCCCCCCCCTCACCCCTGAAATTATGCAATTTGGTGCTTGGTGGCGTCTTGAACTCAGCCATCAGTATATTTGCAATTCACATCAAACTGAAATTCTACAATTGTCCAATTCTCTTACGCCCCATCAAGCAAGCATAAACTAAAACTAATGTACTTTAAAAGATCAAAGAAGTAACAAACATCATCAAGACAGGTTTACTGACAAAAGCACTCGGAGACCCAGCATATAAAAGTTTACAACAGAAAAGCCACAGACGAACAAATCAAAAACTAAGTTCAAGTTCAAACTCCTTTGTTCAGTGACATTATGAGAAAAACTACCAACACCACAACAAAACTAGTTTAACCCTATCCGTACGCCTGGGGTCATTTCCTACCCCAGTGGTTGTATTCTTCACATTTTACAATACTTATAGAGCGAAGATCTTTTTGGAACTTTCAGTATTTCTCAAAAAATCATTTTGACAGACTGCTATGCAAAACGTACGGATCGGAATAACGAGTAAATTTCCTCTTTGGAAAGTGGGGGCACAGAGTTCCCAAAATCGTATGGATAAGATAGTAAAACACAACAAATCTAGTTTAAGTAAAGAGAAATACATTGAGTCGATATAACATTTGTCATTTAATACTGGGAAAAAGCAAGATGGACCGACAAAAACAATAGAGGGACAGAAAAGAAGCAGGACTTACCAAGTGGTGCCCTTAAACCTCCCACCCATACAAGAAGTGAGCAGCTTGACTTCCAGAAGACCCCCCCCCCCCTAAATATCTAGGCGTAAAAGTAAAAGCAGTATAAAATAATGGAGAGCAACCCGGACCCCACTAGACGAGGTACGGCTTTTGCCTTCTCTGAACACCGCTGGAATAAAGCCCAGCAATCCTCCGCTCAACATTGCTCATTACTTCGCTTCGTTTGAGAATAAGCATACATTCAGATTATAAGTAAGAATCTTTTAGTTCAGGGGAACAGGGAGGCAGACAGGCAGTCTAACAGAAACCACAGAGGGAAAGAAAGAAGGAAAAAAAAAGTGAAACCAACAAGTGGCGTCCTCCAACCACCCGCTGAATACTGCTGAGTGGACATAATACAATACAATAATACTAATGAATTTTCTGTACTGCTTATTTCTTTCTTTTAACAGTTTGTTTGTTTGAGTAAATAGGAGCACATCCATACAACAGGTATTTAGTGCAGGGAAAAAAGCAAGACAGACAGCAGACAGACAGACAGACAGAGGGAAAGGACAGAAGCAGGACTAACTTAAGTGGCGCCCTCCAACCACCCATTCTTATACCAGTTGCACTCAGAACTTTAGTTTGATTAATGCAGAACATAATGAGCAGGGGAAAGGCAAGATATGCAGACAGACAGAAACACATGAAGGAATAGAAAAGCTTGGGACCATCAGTGACACCCTCCAACCACTTTCCCATACAGAGCTCACTTTCAAAGAACAAGCTATGACGTTATGTAGTTGCCAGCGCCGTTAAACTCTTACCCCCCAAAAAAACTAGCAGTCAATGCAGGAAAGCAAATAAACCTTCTTCTCACAGCATGAATTAAGTTTGTAACCGAAACGTGGCCAACAATAACAACACATACAGCATGACGGTACAATACGTGGCCAACAATAACAACACATACAGCATGATAGTACAATATGTGGCCAACAATAACAACACAAACAGCATGATTGTACATGTGGCCAACAATAACAACACATACAGCATGATTGTACATGTGGCGAACAATAACACATACAGCATGATTGTACATGTGGCCAACAATAACAACACATACAGCATGATAGTACAATATGTGGCCAACAATAACAACACATACAGCATGATTGTACATGTGGCCAACGATAACAACACATACAGCATGATTGTACATGTGGCCAACGATAACAACACAAACAGCATGATTGTACATGTGGCCAATGATAACAACACAAACAGCATGATTGTACATGTGGCCAACGATAACAACACATACAGTATGACGTGGCAAACAATAACAACATATACAGCATGATTGTACAAACACGTGGCCAACAATAACAACACAAACAGCATGATTGTACAAACACGTGGCCAACGATAACACACAGCATGCATGTACAGTATCTACAGGTCTGACCAGCGATCTACACCGACTACCACAAGCATCACTTACTTCCATTTGTTTGAGCAAAGAGAAGCACACTGGCACAATAACACTCGTTTAGTGCCGGTACAAAGCAAGGACTGACAGACAGAAACAACAGAGGGACAGTAAAGAAGTAGACAATGCCAGAGGCGCCTTCCAATATACTGTATGTTTCTTCGACAGGAAAACAAAACCACACAATGTAGTCACTCAGAACACTCCAACGACCGGCATTCTTTCATACTCTCTAACCTCATTCACTCAAAACATTCAGAGAATGTTTTCAATACTTTTTGATCGACTGCTGATATATTATATTTAATTAAATAATTTCTTCACTTCTCATATTTTCTTACAGGAAAAAAACCAACACCACCCACAAACACAAGAAAGCAAGCACACAAATGACCAAAGCACGCACACTTTGAAAATTCATAACTTAAAAAAACGTAACAGATTACCATTGTACTGTAAACGTTTTACGCCATTATTTTGAGAATGGGAAATCACAAATTACTGGCAGGGTAAAAAAGAACAAATAAAACGTACAGCGAACCCTTCAAAGGTCACCAGAGACTTGCAAAAGCCGCATGATAAAAAATAAATAAACCACCGATAGCAGAGCATTTAAAAGATGTATTCAGCGTCTTCCTGCCTACATTTTCCCCAGGTAGCGACAAGTCCAGGCTGAGATACTGTCACGGGGTCATAGAACGATATATCACTCAGTGTAACTCAACCAACACGGCCGTCAAACCTGCTCTAACCACTACCTGTCCAAGACAACCACTTTTCTCCTCCACAAAGGGTTTCATTTTCTGGTATTTTCGTCGGATGCTTACAAAGGAACAGTGGACATATCACTGGCAAGAGGCACTGGCTCATAGGAAAAAAAAAGCAAACAAAAACGTAAAGACAAAGAGGTTGTCCCCAACTGGAGTTATACTGCAGCTTGCTCACTTTCATTCTTGTATTTTAAAAAATGGGTTTTTTAAAAACTCAGTTCATTTATGCCAACCTCGAGTTGAAGAAGTCTGTTATTATAGTTTAATGTAGCTATTTTTAACCTCTCCTGTATAAGAAGTTTCCTGGGCGATGACCCATCAATATCCTTCAACAACACTAAATAAAACGACTGCCAGCTGACAAGACAACACAGATAAATAATGAGCAAAAAGCAACTAGTAAAAAAGTTGGTCTACTGAGCTACGGTGACAACTCACTACTTCATTAGGTTTAACAACGACATTGTGACATTCCACGCGCACGGGACGCTATTAAACACTTTATTATCATACCATGTTTAATATTACAGTTACGTACATCTTATTGAGTAATAAACTCTGGCAAAGACGCATCATGCTCCCCAAAAAAAAGGAGGGAGGGGAGGGGGGGTGGAACCAAGAGAGACATGAACAATAGAGAGACAGAACAGAAGTGAACCTCCAATTGCTGCTCTCTAAACACATGTACAATAGAAAATGAGAAAAAAAACCCCAACTAATAAAGTAACAGTGAACAGCGTAGAGGGAACAGATGACGCAAGAGCCTCCCGTCAAGTTAGAACACAGAGAAGCACATTGAAGACACGACCGCCATGTTGTGGAGGAGGGGGGAAAAAGCAAAAACCAATCAAGTGACTCCAACATACGCACAGGACGGAACCACCCAAATAAATACGAGCAGGGCGGTCCAATCACAGACGGCAAAAATGAACCAATCAGAAAGACTCGGTAGACCGTATTATACAGCTCTACACTTTACAGTAAAAGTAAAGTACAACCCCTCCCAAGTCATTGCCCATGATGACAATCAGTGTGACCTGTTTCTGTGAGAAAGAAACACCGACCCTGCTTTGACCTCCGTCCTGACCCCGGATGTTGTGCACAAGGCAAGGTCAAACAGTTCGCAATGGGGAGGAGGATATGATATACTTTTCTTCCACAAAATTTACAAATAATACAACAGAGCAGAACATAGTCTTGATGCAAGGAACAACTTGACGCACAGAACAGAATACATTGGATATTTAAGATACAAAAATACAACATTGGATTTAAATAAAAATACTACACCTGATTGAATTGATTGCTAATGATTGTAACTATTTTTAATCCTCTCGTTGCCAGGGGGTATGCGCTCCTACTGTCAGCACCGACTTTTAGTCGAGCTCGTTACCCAGGACAGCAGCCCAATGTCTCAGTGTTAATGGAGGCACGGTCTAGATCTAGCACACTTTTGACATATTTCGGACACAGCGTCTTAAATTATCACTTTTCTCATTCCCCATCTCCTCCCATCTTACTCATAATTTCGAATAACCCGCAAATCTAAGTCAAAAAGTGAATTTATTTACCTTTTTAAAGTCATTTCGATTTTTTCGTTTTACAAGGCCCGCAAGCCTAGATCTGTGTCTATCGACAGCTTGCAAGCCTAGATCTGTGTCTATCGACAGCTTGCAAGCCTAGCAGTAAAGAAATACTAGCAAATTTGGTACCGATATTGCGCATCTTTTATTCTCGAATACAAACCCACACAGTGCTTGTGGCTAAAACTCCGTACAGAAGAATTAAAGCCAGGTTATTAGCGTGACGTACAGGTAACGTCATATGGGTAACCAGGAGCGGCAAATTTTGCCAACTTCCATGATGTACAAGGTACAGCACAATGTTAAAAATTACACATTTTTATGACGTACGGGGTACGTCATATGGCAACGAAAGTGGTAACACTCCTCATCGTCATATACAGACCATTTGGGAGGTGGGCTGCTTCAGCCGTGCTTGTCACGCGCAGCACGGGAGGAATAGGACGTAGAGTAGGACCCCAACAGACAGACGGAGATACTCCATGAATGACCTCCGCACACTGGTGGGAATTGAAAACGCGCTCTTCTGCATGCTGCGGTCAAGAACCTGACTGGTATATCATGTACTAGTCACAATCACAGTCATTAGCAAAAAAAAAAAAAAGATCACCAGGGATAAAAACTGACGAGTAGTGTCATACCCACAGGACAGCTAATATACTACACGGACACTGAAAGACTTGAACCTCTTTAGGCACCGCTGCGTGACCGGAACCGAACTTATCCACTCTACAAAACTCATGCAGTAAAAAACAAAAAACAACGATAAATGTCTTCCCACAAAACAAAAATGTCCAACAACCCAAGCCGTCAACTCTCCAAACTTAGGCTATAAACAAATGCTATCCAACAGCAAATGTACGACAATGGCGAAAAAAAATGAGTAGCTCCTTGCAGTCAGCTGTTTTCAGATGTACGAGGTTAAAAAAAACCCAACAAAGCAAACCCTCGATTTCCCCCAGTCTGTGTTTCTGACTCCCCGACCAAAGCAGTCAGAAAAACACTTTTCCTGCCTTCACCCTCTTGTTGGCCTTGAACAGATCTGTCATTTGATACTCACAAGAATGAGGTATCAAAATGTCACACGAAACTCATTTTGTCATATCACTACACATATGTATTGTATTCTCTAACAAAACAAAACGATAATTTGATTCCTGTGTCTGCCTTGACAAGGAGGAAAAATGAGCATAATCTGAGCCTCCAATCTATAAGCTATACATAAGCGGGAGGAGATACAAGTCTTGAATCTCAGGTCATGGTACGTCGCCCACTCCTGAAGTCATGTTCGGACTGACAATCACACACTGTAGACCACACAACAGGGGAAAATCTTAAAGCCATTAAGGGCTTCACATTTACCCCAGTTTGAACATGCACGCAGGCGAACACACACACATCATTTCACAACTGCAGCACATTTAGGCGTATCTGAATACACAGATCCAGAATGAAAGAAAAAAATAATTCCCAATCTTCAAAGTCATTCCTCGTTTATGGTGTATTAGGGCAGGTTGAACACACACATGCGGAAAGAAGGAAATAATCAGAATTTTAAGCCACTCCATATTTGGGTAAATTTGAATCTGAACACACGCACAAGAAGAAAAAAGCAGGAGATGACAAGAAACACAAAAAGTCATTCATTTCACATGAGAAAAAAAAAATTTGCTGCATTTCAGCCTGAGGAGTGGCCCCAATAGCAAGAGTAAATCGTCCACTGACACGTGTAGATGGCAAATAGGCTACCTTATGCCCCCATCCACAAAGTTCAGGTTGTTTGTGCAGCTGGCCGTTTCAACCTTCCCTGTGAAGGCCAACCCCTGTTGAATGAGTCCACAGAGTTGTAGCTCCAAAGACAGAAAGTTCACACGACTCCACAACAGCAGTAAGTCTCGTAGTCCGGCAGTCCAGTAGTCGGTCAATTCAGTTCATCCTTTCGGCCACTAAAGCGACACATAACCCAAAAGTCAGTCAGACCAATACTTCCATCACTCGCACATTCCGTCGAGAATAAAGACAGACAATCAAACCGACAGCAAAATGCACACACACACACACACATACACAGAGTTCAGTGGCGGCCGTTGTACACGGCAAATACTATAGTAGGAGTTGTCTCTCAAACTTGAGACAGTGTAAGTTGTAAATAAAAGTTGTAAACATTTGGTCACATTCCACACCAAAAATAACTCCACCAACACGTCGCAACCTGGGAATGACTGGGTGCAAAAAGTCCAACTTTTTTTTTCTTTCATTGCTAACTTTGAGGTAAGCACACTATAATACTTTCAACCCACCAATGACTGGTGGTGTCCCCACAGTGCAGCTCTCAGAGCTGGGAACCACCGATCCTGGCTGACACGAAAAGGCATATCGTAAAATGGCGCACCAACGACGTAGTGACATGAAGCTCAATTCTATTCATAGAAAAATTTTCCAAAGTGTGGCTGATGAGGCCCATGATGACCCTGTCATTCCAAGCAGGCCGATCACAGAAAGCCCAGAGCCAATCAAACGTCACAGCAACACACACACACACACACCCGCGCACGCACAGACGACATATCTTCTCCACCCACACTAAAACATGCAGTAGTGTGGTGCCACACACACACGCACTCACGTACACCCACACAGATAACCCATCTACTCCACCCGCACCAACAAAGCGTGCAGGAGTGTGGAACCCCTCTCCTTTGTGACCCAGTCTATCTCCGAGTTCTTGAAGTGCGGGTCGACCCGTGCCTTGTCCTCCTGGTACTGCGGGCTGACCTTGTACGACCCTGGCTTGACCCACACCTGGAAAGCTGTGCGGGCTTCGTACGACTTGCGTGTCTTTGGGTCGGTGAACCTGGTAAATACATGCAGAGTCAATCTGTTTAGCTCGTCTACTTGTACAGGGGAGAAAAAATTAAATGAGACGCAACAGGACAAAAACGAGCCACAGTTTGCCATTTTTTATTTATATAAACACTTGGGGTACCAAATTGCTTTTTCTTTCAGTCTCTCCTTTCCTTTCTTTCTCTATGTATTCCCCTCTCCTCCCCCCTGTACTCACCCATGTTTCCCCCCCCCCCCTCCCCCTACCCATGTATGTTTCAGAGATGTTGGGAGAGAGACCCCCCCCCCCCCTCACCTGTACTCACCTATGTTTGGGACAACCCCCCCCTCCCCCTGTACTCACCTATGTTTGGGAGAGAACTGGTTCCCCCCGGCATGCCGTATGGTCGGAGACAGGAAGATCTGTTTGCCGCCCAGGTTCTCGGGCCGGGACTTCTCCGTGTAGGGCAGCGGGCGGGGCAGCAGGATGGACAGAGAGGAGGAGGAGGAGGAGGAAGATACGGAGGAGCTGCCCTCATCTGGGGAGAGGAGAAAACACGTTGCCGCTCACTGCCCTAACGCTAGATCTTGATTACACAACCCTTTTCTCTTTCGTGACAGCTCCTGTACAGTGTATGTCCACCAGCATTATCATAATAATTCATTACATAAAAAAAAAATTCAAACAAATGTTTCTTTAACTTACACTGTGAAAGCTAATCTCCATTCTTTAGAATATTGATATTTATGGGACTACTTTTACGGGCCGCAAAAAAACTCTGTCAACAGCAACGATCTCACAGACGTGTAGAAACTCACCAGAAGGCAGGAGATCAAATGTGTCGAGGCTGCGTCTGACCTCGGAGATGCGCGAGCCGTGGTAGGCGCAGTGCCATTTGTCTGCCACGTTCAGAGCATGGGCCTTGTTGGGGGCTCTGAGGGGAGAGAGAGTGTGTGAGGGAGAGTGTGAGGGAGAGGAGGGAGAGGGAGAGATAGAGAAAGAGGAGAGAGAGGGGGGGAGGGGAGAGGGAGGGAAGGAGAGAGAGAGAGAGAGAGAGAGAGAGAGAGAGAGAGAGAGAGAGAGAGAGAGAGAGAGAGAGAGAGAGAGAGAGAGAGAGAGAGAGAGAGAGAGAGAGAGAGAGAGTTCTTAACAACAGAATAGAACTGCACACTAAATGACTATTGTTGCGTTGAAGTGCTCCTTTCTACTGAAACAAACAGGATGGTAAAACCATCAGAGGTTCCCTCTGACCCGTGAAAGAAAAGTTATTGCAGTCGCCTGGCCTTCTTTTGACAACTACGACATCCAAAAACAATAAAATGTCTCGCAGCAAACATGCTACCATCAACACGGTCGCACGCGCCTCACCTCAGTAAGTAGCGGCACCAGCCGACAGGTAGGACGAAATCTTTGGGCGGGTCTCCGCGCTGGTGGTGCGGGTCATCCCCCCTTGCTTTGTGGCAGGCCGAGCAGAAGCAGGACGGAGGTCCTTCGAAATAGCCATCTGTGGGGGGGGGGGGGGGAGAAGTTTTAGTAGAGGTTTTACGGCACGTCCCAACTGTATAAGGTCATATGAGCGCCAGAAGATTAGAGGTGTTACAAGAGAGTAACAAATATGAAAAAGAGGAAGGGGAGATAATGACGATAGACGTTTGATAGGAAAGAAGGAGCAAACCACACCAGAGCGTCCGCCAGCCACCCACAAGTGGTGGAAGTTGAGGCCAGAACAGACAAAAGTACAGTCGGGGATTGTCCGAGACGACCATCCATCATCGAGGAGAAGTTATTGTCTTAGACAGCCGGACGTCTAAGATTAATATAGTGTTATCTTCATAGTTTTAAAAATAACCGGGGGGGGGGGGAGAAATGGGAAGTGGTTGTTTGTACTGTCACGCAATTGTCTAAAACAGGCAGGCGGCCATAAAAGCAGGTTTCACTGTATAAACTCTCAGTAGGCCATGTGCCAGTTCAGTCCATATGCTGAGTATGTATCTAGCCTCAGAATTATTATAGTTTATATTACTGTTTATTTATATTATGCATGTGACCATAAACCTGCGTGTGTTTGCATGTTTGTGTGTGTGGGTGTATGTGAGTGTGTGCATGTGTGTGTGTGTGTGTGTATGTGGTGAAACACCAATGCATGTATGTGTGTGTATGTGGTGAAACACCAAACCAATGTGCCAGGATCTGGACAATAAAGATGTATCTTATCTTCTTATCTTATCTTTTTATCTGTCAGTGACAATTACCCAGCTCTCAAGTTGAACTGACGCTCATGTGCTTTTTTTTACTCAAAACACACAAATTAATAGACCGTTATTGTATCTATGAGCTTCTCTTAACTCAAACAAATGTACTCGGCGCTCATATGACCTTATTCAGTTGCGAGCGTTGTAAAACGTCTACTAAAACAAAAAACAAACGTACAGACAACCAATGAGAGCACCCACCTGGCAGAGCCAAAGAGGCACGGAATCTGTTGCAGATGTTGAGATACTCGCAGTGGCGGACTGTCTGACCGTTGTCCACCCCACTTGAACTCTTCTCTTTCCCTTCTGACACACAACGGGGAAAGGAAGAGGAAAAAACATTCACCAAGTGTTACCAGCAGTTTTTTATCAGGACGTATAAAAACACATTTAAGTATAACAACATACTACATAAAGCAACACCACATAAACACACATTGAATTTTTCTTTATCAAACAATACGCATAAAATGAAAACATGAACAGGAACACATTTCGAATAATTATAATTCCCCCCCCCCATTAAAACTTTAAAATATATATTTATGTAAATACAAAATATTACTTTCTACATATACACCTGTCAAGTAATCTAAAAAAGTAATAACTGTAATGAATGTCCAGAATATTTTAGAAAATGGAAATCCGCAGCATAAATGCTATTTATTATAATCTATAATCATTAACTAACAATATTATAACAGCACAAGATGCACCCAAATACACAATGTACAATAAAATCACAGCAATGAGTTAATGATAAGGTCAGCTTGTGTTGACCAGCACAACAGACACTACTGCGCAGACAGACAGACAGGACAGAGAGTAAGACTGTTAAACAGATATGACAAACTTGGATCACACACTCCCAACACTAAAAGTTCGCCCCAGAAAGACACACACACAGATGAACAGACAGACAGACAGACAGTCAGATGCATAGACATGATCAGCTCAGACCCCCCACCCCTCCTTCCACACCCACACACACTTACTGTTCTCCAGGTCGGCTTTCTCACACTCTTCCTTCACCCCCGTCACCGCTGGGTTCTCCAAATCCTCTGGCAGAATCACCACCTGTGATGGACGACGGTGACACCAGTCAGGTCAAGGTTTATTAAAGTTTTAGTAGAGGTTTTGCGGCGCTCGCAACTGCATAAGGTCATATGAGCGCCAGAAGATTAGAGGTGTTACAAGAGAGTAACAAACATAAAAAAGAAGGGGAGATAAGGACGATAGATGTTTGATAAGAAAGAAAAAGCAAACCACACCAGAGCACCCGCCAACCACCCCACAAACAATCGTTTAAGGCTGGGAAAAAAGACAGACAGAAACAGAAGAAAAAAACACAAATGGGAATTAACACTCAGTGGAACCGTCCAACCACCAGGAACAATGTTTTTAGTAAGAGTTTTACGGCACTTGCAACACAATAAGGTCATATAAGTGTTGAAAATTAGAAGCGTTACAAGAGAGTAACAAACACAAAAAAGAAGGAGGGGAGATAAGGACGATAGATGTTTGATAAGAAAGAAAAAGCAAACCACACCAGAGCACCCGCCAACCTTCCACCAGTCAGGTCAAGGTTTGGTTTCTTGGAGTCAATTGAGGAAACAAGTATGTTGACAGCGACACAAGGACAGACACTTAGTGCTGAGAAAGAACAAGAAATATAAGACAGACAGACAGAAATTTGTTTGAGTAAAGAAAAGCACATCGACACAATGAGAGTCATTGAGTGCAGAGAAAGTTTTAGTTTTAGTAAAGAGTTTTACGGCACTTGCAACACAATAAGGTCATATAAGTGCCGAAGATTAGAGGTGTTACAAGAGAGTAACAACAAACGTAAAAAAGAAGGAGGAGAGATAAGGACGGTAGCTGTTTAGAGGAAAGAAGGAGCAAACCACACCAGAGCACCCGCCAACCACCCACTGCAGCGAAAGAGTAAGACCGACAGACAAAAAAAAAGTTGATAAAAAAAAAGTAGGAGTTTTTACACCCTCATCAACACAATTTAGATCATTTACGAGGCGAGCTTCCTACCCTGCTTATCGCAGCCAACCTAGGCTAAGCGGGATACAGCATCCAAGCAAAAAGACGGATACGGATACTGAAATTTTTTTCCACATTTGGAAATAGAAATCAATCTCCTGCGTGCGACAGTGAAGCTTTTAACTGCTACTCCAAAGACGCCAGTACAGAAATTTGTTTTTTGGAATAAAGAGCAGTACATCAGAGAAAATGAGTCCTTTAGTGCAGGAAAAGTGTAAGACTGGACAGACAGAAACTTGCTTAATTGTAAGCGTAAAGCGTAAAGACAACCACATCCACACAAAGGCCACCATACAATACAGGGAAAGAGGTAGACAGTCTGGGCTGGCCCGATAGGCAGGGTCGAAGCCAGCCTCCAAAACGATCTAAAATTGTATCAATGAGGACATTAAAAAAGAAAAAAATTGTATCAATGGGGGCATAAAAAAACCCAGTATTATATTTTTAGAAAGAAAAAAAAATAAAAAATTCTGGGCAGCATTCTATAAAACGTAGCTACACATGGTTAGTTTTAGTTATAGTATAGAGTTTTATGGCACTTGCAACACAATAGGGTAATTTTAGTGCCGAAGATTAGAGGTGTTACAAGAGAGTAACAAACACAAAAAAGAAAGAGGGAAGATAAAGACGATAGATGTTTGATAGGAAAAAAAGAAGCAAACCACACCAGAGCACCCGCCAACCACCCACATATGGTAAGTTCTCCCTGACCTGTTCACACTGGCCATAGAGATCGACGAGCGGCCAGCAGGGATGAGGGACGTCCCTCACCGCCACGCCGTAGTCGATGCCGTTGACCACCAGGTGGAGGCATGAGTCCTCGTCCACCACCACGCCCACGCGGCAGTTCTCTCCCAGCGTGTCCAGGTTGGGCCCGTAGTGGTCCTTCACCTGGAGGGTTTTACACAAATTTTAGTATTAATATCAGAATAAAGTTTCTTCCTTATACCTAAAAGGTTTTACGGAAATTTTAGTATTAATATCAGAATAAAGTTTCTTCCTTATACCTAAAAGGTTTTACGGAAATTTTAGTATCAATATCAGAATAAAGTTTCTTCCTTATACCTAAAAGGTTTTACGGAAATTTTAGTATCAATATCAGAATAAAGTTTCTTCCTTATACCTAAAAGGTTTTACGGAAATTTTGTACTGATATATGGGGCACGAAGCGGTGAAAGCAGGCGCTCGTCAATTTTTGGGCATGTGGAGTTAATGGTATCACCTTAAAGCTTGTTCATTGGTCTTACATTTGGCTAAAAATCCCCACCCACCTATCGTGAATAGACATCAAGGTATTTCTGACTGAAGAAGGTGGGAGTCACCTTATTTCAGAGGTAAAATATTTTTAAAAATAATCGTCAAAGTTTGTAACTTCCATTGCTTGGAAAAGAAAATTTACAATTCTGTTTCAGTGAGCCTTTAATCAATATTTTTCAGTAAAATCCACAGAGATGTGTTTTTAAGTATACATAAAAGGTGTTGAGCCAAAAAACAAGAATTCGATAATATTTACCAAACCAGCAGAAAAATGCCTCTTTCTTTTATTTCATTATTTTGACGAGCACTTGATTTCACCAGGATGCCTCACACATAATGTTTCTTTTATTTTACCTGCAAGGTTTTAAAGAAATTTGGTTTTGCCATACATTAATCTCTCAGTCTGTCTAGGTTAGGCCCATAGTGGTCTTTCCCCTAGAAGGTTAAAACAAAAATTAGCTTCAACATAATATGTGAGGCAGCGTGGTGGAATCAGGCTCCAGTCAAAATAATCAAAGGGAAGAAACTTGCACTTTTCCCGCAGGTTTGTGAATTTTTTTCAAATTTTTGTTGTTTGGCTTAACACCTTTCATGCCCATTAAAGAACTCATTTCTGTGTGGATTTTTCTGCAAAACGTTAATTAAAGGCACAAAAAATGTAAATTGTCAGTTACCACGGACTCTAAAGCTAAGGAAAAATAACTAATCTTTGGCGGCCATTTTCTCACTAATTTTACCGCTGAAAACAGAAGACCCCCTCCTCCTCCTTTTGCAAATATCTCCACTTGTATTCAAGATAAATGGATATTTTGTTCATCCAAATAAAGACAAATAAATAAGCTTTAAGATGATACCAATAACTCTACATGCCCAAAAATTGACGAGAGCCTGATTCCACCACGCTGCCTCACATATATCCATTTAGCTCAGTCTTACTGAAGATGGATGTTAAATTTAAGTCCTGTCTCTTATATTACCTTACAGTGTTCAACCAAATCAATGTACAATGAACGATATTTGACAGTCCCATGTTATATCACTGCTCACGAATGAGCAAGCCTTGTCTGAACTAAAACAAAATTAACAATAACCAAACAACCCCCCCCCCCAAGTCACTGACCTTGAACCCTGAGACAAACACGGCCTCCCCCTGGATCACCACGCACGGCTTCCAGATGAGCGAGGCAGAGATTGGGAACGTGAACTTGTCCACAGGGAATCCCACAATCCCGATCATCAGCGAAGACGTCCACTTCTTGTTGAGACGACCCAGCTTGACCTGAGTGAAAGAAGGTCGAGATTTGTTCAGAGTTGAATTCTGCTTGCAAAATTTTTTATTCACGAATAAATGAACGCTGGTATCTTGTGTCAGTAAATAATGAGCGAATAAACCCATCACCTGGAGTATCGATATGCAGGCAGGCAGAAGTTGATCGGTACATTGCAAATATTCATTATATTTATTGCCTCCCCCCCACACACACCTGGAAGAGAGTCCTTCGTTTGAGTGGTCTGTTGCCCACGACCATGCCGTGGTTGTAGCTGGTCAGACGCTCCGCCTGCTTGCCGCCCTCCCTCAGCAGCACGTTCTTCCCGTGGTTGCCGTGGAAACAGGTGGTCAGGTGGGCCGATGTGTCACTGTCCTGGTCCCGGTCCTGACGACAACACAAACACGCAAGCATGAGTTTTAGTTTAATTTTAGCAGAGGTTTTACGGCACTCCAACTGCATAAGGTCATATGAGCGCCAGAAGATTAGAGGTGTTACAAGAGAGTTACAAACATAAAAAAGACAAGCTGGGCCCCCTTTCATTGAAAAGAATGATCAGTGCATTAGCATCACCTGAAAGTCATTGGTAAAAAAAGAAAACGTGAGGCTAGACCTATACGGGTCGCACACTTAAAATAGTGCTCAGTACTGCGCGACAATATCGAACGGAAGTACGACTTGAAATAAACAAACCTGGCGGATTTTCTAAAATTACAGAGACAGAAGCGTCGGCCTACAAAAGTGATCGGCGAAAAAAAGAAATTTAGCATTTTGCAGCAAAACTGTCTCAAAACTGAAAAAAAAACTAAGGGCGTCATGATCTGGAGAATATTTTAAAGAATCTTTTGGCGAAAACTGCATGTCGATCGATGCAGCCATTAAAAAGCCTTTTGAATAGCAAAATTCAGCCACCACAAATAGATAATAGAAGAAGGGGAGATAAGGATGATAGATGTTTGATAGGAAAGAAGAAACAAACCACACCAGAGCATCCGCCAATCACTCACATATGAGGTTAACTGACATATACACAGGCACATGAGTCTACAGATACACACATGTACACATACTGCTGCCGTCAGTTGTAAAAGTGCAGTATATATATGCAGTTTTACAATTGCACTGAAGAGCAGAAATATTGAAAGTTTGTTGTTATCAAGAAAAACAACATTTGCTTAAAAGATAATAAAGAAGTTATCAATAAAATTGTATTCTTAAAAATATATTTACATTCGACGTTAGCCCCAAAACATTTGAGACATGAAAATCTGTTCGCTACGGGTGCATTTTGCTGCGTGTGCGTGTTTCGCTGTGTGTGTGTGTGATTTGCTGTGAGCTTGTTTCGCTGTGCAATGTGCTGGATGGTATAAATAGATAACAAAACATTTGTGACATGAAAATCTGTTCACTATGGGTGCATTTTGCTGTGTGCGCATGTTTTGCTGTGTGCGCATTTCGGCGTATGTGTGTTGCTGTGTGCGTGTTTTGCTGTGTGTGTTTTGCTGTGTGCATGTTTCGCTGTGTGTGTGTTTCGCTGTGTGTGTTTTGCTGTGTGTGTGTTTCGCTGTGTGCGTGTTTCGCTGTGTGTGTTTCGCTGTGTGCGTGTTTCGCTGTGTGTGTTTCGCTGTGTGCGTGTTTCGCTGTGCGTGTTTCGCTGTGTGTGTTTCGCTGTGTGCGTGTTTCGCTGTGTGTGTTTTGCTGTGTGTGTGTTTTGCTGTGTGTGTTTTGCTGTGTGTGTTTTGCTGTGTGCGTGTTTCGCTGTGTGCGTGTTTCGCTGTGTGCGTGTTTCGCTGAGCAACGTGCTGGACTGTATTATAAATAGATAACAGAAGTAATCCAGCAGGCTGGCCCTAAGACTGACCGGTGCCGTGAGCTCCGTCTCTACGGCGGGCGAGAGACTGATGCTGGTGCTGTCCACGCTACAGCTGCTGATGACCACCACACCCTCCACACACCCGTGGATGTCCACCACCGCAAACACATTCTGGGGAAACACAGACAGAAAGAGGATTTAAATCTGACGTCTGCACAAAAATAGCCATTTTGTGCTAGGAAAGAGTAAGAGTAAGACTGAAATAACACCAGGGAAGAGAGATAGACATATATATATAGAGAGAGGGAGAGAGACAGACAGAGAGAGAGAGAGAGAGAGAGAGAGAGAGAGGGAGAGAGAGAGCGAGAAAACATGAGAGAGATAAAGAAAAACATGAAAGAGAGAGAGAGAGAGAGAGAGAGAGAGAGAGAGAGAGAGAGAGAGAGAGAGAGAGATGTTAATCAAAAGTATGATATGCAATGACAAGCTTTAGTACAATCAGTCGTAGCACCGTCTGGTGCAATGTAGCATGGCACGGCTAGGCCAATCCTGAGACGAAGGGTAAAGAAATTGGCATAACGGTTACAATGGTGCTATGCTCTATCCATGTAAGTGGTCTCTTGACAATTTTTCAACATGCTGAAAGAACCCTTCTGATTTAACTGATAAGAGGAGGGCATAAAAATGAAGCCAAAGCACTGTACTATTATTGATAGCGCACTGTCTTGTGATTTCATCCAGAATCTAGTTTAATTTTAGTAGAGGTTTTACGGCGTTCGCAACTGCATAAGGTCATATGACGGCCAGAAGATTAGAGGTGTTACAAAAGAGTAAAAAACATAAAAAAGAAGAAGGGGAGATAATGACGATAGATGTTTCATAGGAAAGAAGAAGCAAACCACACCAAAGCACCCGCCAACCATCCACATCCAGTATCTCCATCTGTTTATTGGACCAAACAGTCTAGACCATGACCCCTCACCTTAGGGATCCCCGAGGCTGCTTCTCCAAGGTCGTCCCCGTTGAGGAGCACGTGCATGGCCCCGTCAGAGTCGCGACACACGCCGAGTCGGTCGCCCACCTGACACAGAGAGAAAGAGAGGGGACCCACAACCGTCACATGGTGTTGTGATGACAAAAATCTCACGACTCAACAAATCTTTTTTTTTTTGGAAACAGCTGCAAAAGTTGAGTATAAACCCCCCCCCCTCCAAGCCTCTAGCAATGTCCATGATCATATCCAGCAATTTTTTCGTTTTAGTAAAGAGTTTTACGGCATTTGCAACACAATAAGGTCATATAAGAGCCAAAGATTAGGTGTTACTAGTGAGTAACAAACACAAAAAAAGAAGGAGGAGAGATAAATTGATAGATGTTTTGATAGGAGAAAGAAAGAGCAAACCACAACAGAGCACCTGCCAACCATCCACTGGCACTTTTTTTATTGTTCGGGTTAGACAAGGCACAAATTACAATCCTTCATCAATGATTGACTGAGGAATATCATGAAAATCCACTAGCCGGACACCATAAAAAATGTACGGATGTAAACCACATAACAACTAATTGAAAGGGAGATAAAGAAAAGAAAATAGTGTTGGATATAACAGTAGAGAGTTACGGTGAGAGAGAAAAGTGTTGAGGAGAGAGCGAAACAGTAGAAAAGAGAAAGCAGGCAAGAGAGACGGAGAAGAAGGATAGAAGAGACAGAGAAGGAGGAGAGACAGACAGAAGGAGGCGAGAGAAAAGAGGAGCAAGCATTCACCTGTAACCTGGCCAAGGACGGAGCGTAGTTATCCTTGACCACAACGCCGTTCTTCTTCACCTCCGACCCCACCACGACCCAGGTGACCTTGGAGGTGATCTCGTCGGCGGTGGCAGGGATATTGACCGGCGAGCTGCTGTCGGAGATGGCCATGGTGGTCAGTCCGATCTTGAGGGAGCCTGACCATTGGGCAGACACCTCGCTCACCTCCACCTGGGGACAACACCACAAACGTGAGGCCTGTTTTGTTAGAGTGAGCGTTTTACAGCACTCCCAATACAATAAGGTCGTAAAAGTGCAGAAGATTAACGAATTTTGTCAGTACATCTCCATTATAACCTGTTTGCAGGGGTGTAAATGGAAAATTTATAAACAAAAAGACAGTTCATAGACACATATAATATGGGAATAAGCAGGAAACAGATTCTTAGAATAATAACTGTTCTTCAAGTAACCCCCTCCCCTGCAAATTATTGAAGAAAACTAAAAAAAACCCCAAAAAACCTCAACAAAAATTGGCATCCCTGTGTTTGGTAATTGTAAGAGTGTAACACCCTTTTCACTTTCACTGTAGGCGTCGCTTATTAAGACAAGGGACTTTTGAATGTGACATCCTCTTCTCCAATACCACAGAGGCAGGTCGGTGAGGGTTCTTCAAAACTCTCCCGAAACAACCAAAGCTCAAGATCATCAATTCCCTCACACCCACACACACTTACTCTCACACATACCCACCCACACAACTAGCTTACCTAAAAAATCTCGTCATACTTGAGAGGCTCGGAGCAGAAGACTATGCTGTGGCTGTATCCTTGCACACGACTAGCACACACACATATGTACACTCCCTATAGCTCTCAACCTGAACAGCAACCCCCCCCCCCCCCCCACACACACACACATGTACACCCCCAACAGCTCTCAACCTTACTAGCACACCCCCACCCCTCCCCACCACACAGATTTACCTCGAAAATCTCGTCGTACTTAAGTGGCTCTGAGCTGAAGACAATGCCGTGGTTGTATCCCTGCACGCGACTAGCTCCCCAGCATGTGCTGCGTAAGGTGATGTTTTTGCCGCAACACTTGCTCAGTCTGTGGGTCACCTCTGCCACACGCAAAACAAACAGCATGAGAGTTTGAGTTTCAGTAAAGAGAGGCACATCTATACAATAACGATCAGTCAGTTTTAGTAAGAGTTTTACGGCACATGCAACACAATAAGGTCATATAAGTGTCGAAGTTTTTTAGTTTTAGTAGAGGTTTTAAGGCACTCGCAACTGAATAAGGTGACATGAGCGCCAAAGGGTGTATGTCAACAGAGAATCCTTACAGGGAATGACACTTACTCTGCTCACCTCTCTAGCTTCAACAGTACAAAGTCTGCTTCAACTATCAAAGCACCCCGGAAATAGTGGGTCACAAGAGTGTGACAAACATACAAAAGAAGTAGAGGAAAATTACAATAGTAAGGATTAGGAAAGAAAAAGCAGCAGTTCCCTGTTGTAGATCATGCACAGTTATGAGCGTGACATGATGAATCAGCCCATTTACAATTGTACTGTGCATGAACAAGAAATGTCCCCCCTTTGGGAATGGCCCCGTAAAGACACTTCAGTCGGTGGCACTGCCCCGGGGGTTAAAGTGCCGAAGATTTGAGAGGTTACAAGAGAGAAACAAAAACAAAAAAGAAGGAGGGGAGATAAAGACGATAGATGCTTGATAGGAAAGAAGAAGCAAACCACACAAGAGCACTCGCCAACCACCCACCATCACACAGTGCAAGGAAGAAGCAAGGACAGATGAACAGAAACAACAGAGGGAAACAAAAGAAGAAAGACCAGCCAGTGGCGCCCTCCAACCACCCGCAACAACATGGTAGGAGGCACGGTCAAGTGGAGAATAAAAAGAATTTTTTAAAAAGAAATTGCTACAATTTGAATTAGTTTGTTGCTTTTTTAAGTAAGTTTTACGGCACTTGCAACACAATAAGGTCATATAGGTGCCAAAGATTAGAGGTGTTACAAGAGAGTAACATACACAAAAAAGGAGGAGAGATTTGGACGATAGATGTTTGATAGGAAAGAAGAAGCAAACGATATCAGAGCACCCTCCAACCACCCACATTAGAATAATAAGAATAAGCACAATAATGAGAATAATAATAAGGAGTACAACAATTATGAGAATGCTAAGAATAAGTCATAGAAATAAGTATAATAAGAAAAAGAATTTTAAAATTGAAAACACCTACCTTAAAAAAAAAAAATCGGTAAAAGTAAAGCATTCCTCCCCCTCCCCCATGCTTTTGGAAAAGTCCATGATTGAAGCCAGCTGTGTTTTGTTTAATTTTTTTATCTAATAAAACAGGCTGTTTTGTTTTATTTTTTTATCTAATAAAACAAGGCACAAATTACAGTCCTTCATCAACTGTTGCCTGAGGAAAATCAAGAAAACCCACTAGACGTTCACCACCAGAAACATAATACTATAGAGGAAAACCGCACAGCAACCAAAGGACAGGGAGGCCGAGAGACGACGAGCCCTCACCTGTGTTGGCGACGGAGGGCGTGGACAGTGGCTCTGTGTGTAGACTGGCGGGCTGGGGCAGGAGGTGGGCGGGTGGCATCACGATGGTCCCACACGACATGCTCACCTGGCCACACTGACCGTACAGGTCGATCACAGCGTACACGCCTGACGCAGACACAGAGAAAAACAAACAGTTACACACTTGGGACAACAACAAACACAACACACAACCCCCCGAAATAAAAAGAAGTTACACACCTGGAAATACAAGAAAAATATTTTACACCTGGAAATAGCAATAGAAACAATTTTTATGAAAAAAACAGTGACATACCTGAAACTACAATTTTCTGAAACCCCCCCCCCCCAAGTTATACACCAGAAACTATCCAAGAATCAAATGTCAAAAATACCATTTCCACGCTTGAAACTACAAGACACAGCCACAACAACAGTCATCTCTTTCAATCACCATATTTCCTACGGCTGGAAATGGTTTTTAAAAATATAAAAAAAAGTTTTCAGGGCTCTACGTTTGGAATATATCTAGACTGAATGAAACGTCTTTGTAAAAACTTTCACTGGTAGCATCTACCAGCGTCTTCAAACCATCAACAGTGCACAATATTAGGAAAAAAACCAAACCAAAACGTCTGAGCTAGCAGTATTTGAGACCACCAAAAAAAATTTAAAAATACAAAAAATACTGAACCCCCCAAAAAACAACCCTCCACAGGACGACTGTCTTTGTCAAACCCTGGCCACCTGTCTCCGCCATCAGCCTCACCTGGAGCTATATCTGCACTGGCCACCCCCTGGTCCACTCCGTCCAGAAAGTAGTGCAGCGTGCCGTCGGAGCATCGCATCATGCCCACCCGCGAGCCGATGGTCAGAGAGTCAAGGTCAAGCGGGTAGCCGTTGCGTATAGTGGCACCGTCCTGCATGATGGCTGAACCACTGGCAGGGGAGGGAAAAAAAAAAGACCACTGCTACAGAAGAGGAAAATCTATAGACGAGTATTTCCATATATTTCCATATAATGTCCGCTAGCATGTTGCATCTAGTTCATCAAATGGTCGGCTCTGACGGGAACAGTAGAAACAACTTGCTTTCTAAATTATCTACAAACTCTTTTGTTTTGCGTTCATATGGCTGATTGCAACTGCACGTGCCAGAAAGCTCTTTTTTGTTTGTTTGTGTAAAGTAAAGGACATCTACACAATAAACAGTCATTTAGTTTTGTTTCGTTTTAGCAAGAGTTTTTGACACTTGCAACATAGGTCATTTAAGTGAGTAAGATTAGAGGTGTTAGGAGAAAGTAACATACAAAGAAAAGAAGTTGTTTATGTTATGACTTTATGCTACGACCACAGATATTGAGCCCTAAGAAAACACAGTCTGTTTCATGTTACACAAACGTTTGCTTTCTGGTAGTTTGTTCTACATTACATGTATGTGTTATGTAAAAAAGTCTGACAAACCTGAGCATCCAGGTGTCGTGTTCTATGTCAGTCATGGTGCTGGGGAAGTCGATGTCTTCCGGCTTGACCAGCGTCACTCCTGGAATACAAACAAACATGAAAGTGCTCACAGATTTGCTTGTTACAAATATCACACAACACACAGGCAGTCCTTTGTGGAACAACATCTTTTGGCAATTGTTAGAGGGAACGCCTTCTCAATACTGGTGGATTCTGGCTACAGAAACATCAGTCGAAAAAAAGATACATGACACAAAGAGATTTCTAAGAGAAATGGAAAGGTAGACAGACAGACAGATGGACAAACATACTGACAGACAAATAGAAAGATGTTGGCCTTCAGAATTCAATATCCATCTCAGATAGGACAGTCTCATGGAAAAATTTGTGTAAAGTGTCTTTTCCAAGGACACAGCGCTGTACCAAGTAGAGCCCGGTAACTCACGATTACAGGTCTGGTAGCCTGACCACTAGACTCCCGACACCCCCGCAGTAGAAGTGATAGTAGACACAGTTCCCTCATCCTTTTGTTTAGCAGAGTGATGGTTATAATGTAGTAGCACTTGTAAGTATCACCTGGTACCCACCATTTTCTCAATGACCACCTCAGACAGGTAAAATTAACTTTCCTTTAGCAGGTTAATGGCTCAAACATTTACAATGAACTTTTGTTTAGCTGGGTGACAACTACAACCTACAAAATCTAGTAACATTACTAAAACATCAGCCAGCACCCACCTGCTTCAAGTGGTCCACCATTTTCTCGATGACCACCTCAAACAAGGTGAAATTAACTTTCGTTTCGCAGGTTAATAGCTCAAACATTTACTTTTGTTTAGCTTGGTGACAACTATAACCTACATAAGGTAGTACCGTTAATAAAACATCAGCCAGCACCCACCATTTTCTCAATGACCACCTCAAACAGGTAGAATTAACTTTCCTTTAGCAGGTTAATGGCTCAAACATTTACTTTTGTTTAGCTGGGTGACAGCTATAATGTATATATACAATGTAGTAACATAACTTAAACATCAGCCAGCACCCACCTGCCTCCAGGGAACCTGACCAGCGGTCCACCATTTTCTCGATGACCACCTCAAACAGCTCGCCGTCCCTGAGCGGCCGGTTGCTCATGATGATGGCGTCGTTGAACTCGCCAGTGGCGTTGGGCCGGGCGGCCGTCAGGCCCGAGTGGAGCACGGCTGCGTTGCGACCGTGACGCGTGTGGAACTTGAGCTGGTCCGGATCTGTGAACACGCTCGAATCTGTGTCAGGTGAGGTCAGCGCATCTGTGGGTGTGTAGTAGACACGCGGGCCTGTCACTGCATGGGCGTGTGTATCGGAGGGAAGGGGTCGGGGGGCGCGCGGGGGTCTATGTGTGAGAGGGGACTGTGTATGTGCTGGAGGGGTAGGGGATGTCTCTATGTATGAAAGATGAAGGGAGACTGTGTATGCGAGGACGGTGGAGAGGGCCACAGGTGGGGGAGGGGGGGTGTGTGTGTGTCTATGTATGAAGGGGGACTTTTTTTGTTTTAGTAGAGGTTTTACGGCGCTCGCAACTGAATAGGGTCATATGAGCGCCAGAAGATTAAAGGTGTTACAAGAGAGTAACAAACAAAAAAAAGGAGGGGAGATAAGGACAATAGATGTTTGATAGGAAAGAAGGAGCAAACCACACCAGAGCACCCGCCAACCACCCATTGAGGGTAGGGGGACTGTGTACGCGTGGACAGTAGAGAGAGGGGAAGGAGGAAAATTTCTACACAAGCAGGGGGTGTGGAGGAATGTGAGAGGGTAATGGGCAAGTTTTAGTAAGAGGGGGGTGGGTCAAGGTGGAGGGGGGGAGGGGGCTGATGGGCACGGGTTGATTCTGTTGGATTCCAAAAAGAGCAAGGGAAAGAGGGGAGTGGGAGGAGTGTAATGAAGGGCTGACCCCTCTACAGGGTGGCAAGCACTGACGACACAGTTGGAGTTTCAGGAAAGAAATGCCACAGACGATATGAGGAGGGATATGTTACTCTGAAAGGGGTTTGATGGGGAGGTAGAGGGGAGCAGAAGCTGATTCATATCAGAGATACATTACGATGGGAGACAGAGGTTGTATGGGGGAGGGGAGTATTGTAAACTGATGCAGACAAGGGAAACGTTTCATTCACTGGGTGGGAAGCGCGCAAAAGCTGATGATATATATATGAGGGACGTGCTATATTGTTATGTTGTTATTATGCAGTGCAGCAACCAAGCAAACTACACACCCACAGGAAAAAAAGCAAAAACAAAAAACAAAGAACAGTGCAAAAAACTACAAAAGCAAAGCAAAATGAAATAAAAAGCTGACGAATGAACGCAAGCGAACAAGCGCATAAATGTGAATAAATAAGGGAATGACAAAAACATGTTGTGTATAAATAAAGACATGAAAGCAAGAATGTGCATAAACGTGTACAAACAAAAAGAAAACAAGAAAGTCGGTTATATGAATAAGTAAATGAAGTCAAGCAAGTGTATATAAATTAGGAAATGAAAGCAAGCAGGCGTATATGAATTACGAAAAGGGAGCTTTTCAGTTTTAGTTTACGGTAAGTTTTAGTAAGAGTGTCATGGCCCTTGCAACACAATACTAACAGGGAAACGAAAGCAAGCAGAAGTATATAAATAAGGAAATAACACCAGGCATATGCAATTTGAATAAATAAATGAAAGCAAGCACTTATCTCACTAGAGAAGAAAGAAACCAACAAAAAATCACAACAGTTTAATGAAAACCAGACAAAAAAGACAAAAGTTAAATAAAAACAAGCGTAAAACAGCTTTGGATGGCACCTGCTATTGATTTCTTACAAACAATTTGGCAAATTGCAAAACATCTGTCCAAACTATGCACTTTGTAATGAGACGAAAAATGCAGAAAGGAGCAGACATAAATTTCAAGTCCACTCGTTAATGTACGCGTTTTTATGCCTGTCAGGGCCAATCTGAGTGGAGAGGGATACAACATCCCAACAAAAAAACTGAGATACTCGATAAAAATTACCCCCTACTAGAGAATTAAGTTCGATTCTCCTGTGCGTGTCAGCGAAGCACCTAACCGCTACACCACAGACGCAGGTCAAGTCCACTAAACCAGAAACTGAACGGAGAAGAACGGTGCAATATGAACACGCAAGAATCTGAATCTTCTTCACTCAAATAACACAACATGAAAAATGAAGAAAAAACGGAGCAAACAAAATTTTTTAAAAGACATAAAAAATGAAATAGCACACAAAACACACACAACAGCTGTAAGAAATAAGGTCTTGAATGTTACAAACAAAATCTAAGTATGTTACAAAAGAGACGTGTACTTATTGAATTTGGAAGATTTTTTTAAAACCAAATTTTATTTGCATTCTTTGAATTTTTACCAGTTTGCAAATTTTACCCTTATTTTCACAAAAACTAAAATAACGGAAACAAATTCCCATGGAAACCTGAATATCTCTTATTTGCTGACAAAAACAACTGTTTTGTCTTTTTTTTTTTTTTAAGGACAGTCAAGTCAAAATGCACAAAGTCTCTTAAACAGTAAAAACTAAAATAAACACAAAGACTGAATCAAAGAGCAAATGAACAAAAAACATGAGGCTACAGCAACGGAGACATCTTTACAGAAATCACATTGACTGTTTGAGTGAAAAGAAGTGCAAATTAGTGCAAGGAAAAACCCCCCCAGGCAGACAGATGACAGAAAAGCAGGAACTACCTGTGGTGCCCTCCAACCTCCAACCATATGCAAAAAATTACAACACAAGACTAAACTAAAACTATTGAGACTTATGAAAGAAGCACCACAGTGGTGGAACTGCATCCCCACTACCCACCCACCCCCACCCCACAACCAACCCAAAACAGACAGCTGAGGAATCAACAATGACAAAATCAAACAAGACTTTTTTTTTATTGGAACCCCCCCCCCCCCCTCCCCCCAACAAACACCAACAACAAACAAACACCAAAAAACCCCTTGTTCTTCACATGACCATGGTCTCCCCCCCCCCTCCCCATCTCCCTCCCCGGTGACAACACCGCAACACCCTCCCTACCTCACGACAGCGACAACAACAACCAATACTTTCTCGATGAGAAAAATAACCATGCTCTTTAGGAGATAACCAGATCACACCCACCTCTATACACCATCCCCCCACCAGCAAGTTTGTTTCGACACAGTTTCGTTTTAATGAGAGTTTTAAGGCATTTGCCACACAAATAGGTCACATAAGTGTCATAGATTAGGAGAGTTACAAAAGAATAACATACAGAGAAAAGAATAAGGAGAGATAAGGACGACAGATGTTTAATAAGAAAGAAGGAGAAAGCCACACCAGAACGCCCGCCTACAACCCTCGGGTAGGAATAAGACCCATCGTTTATGTTGCTTTATACCATGGTCGAGTCATATTGATGAAACAATTTCCTTTCAAATGTAAACCTAAGCCTAGCCAATGAATCCTAGAAGTTCACTACAGTTGCATCAAAATACGTACAGATCCAACGCACTTTTTGCACACCTTGTGTAATCATCACACAGTCACACAGACTCTCCACATGACAACAACCCCCCCTCCCCCCCACATGCACACCAACCAGCCACCCACACCAGAGTCGGTCCTCACCTGAAATATCCACAATGGTGGCCTGAGCGGCCTGGCCGTAGAGGTCGATGACCCCGTAGACGGTGGCGGGCACGTTGGCCGCGCAGGCCCCCTGGTCCACGCTGTTGACGAAGAAATGGACCGTCCCGTCTTGTTTACGCACCACGCCGACCCTGTCGCCCACCTGGTGGAGAGAGAGAGAGGGACACAAACACACCGTGATACAGCACTAGAAGTAAATCCACCCGATAAGTTTTTAGTAAGAGTTTTACGGCACTTGCAACACAATAAGGTCATATAAGTGCCGAAGATTAGAGGTGTTACAAGAGAGTAACAAACACAAAAAAGA